ATTTTTGATTTTGCATCTGCGGCATCACGCAAAAGATATCGCGGTTCAGTTACCAACGTACCCCTTGGTTTGTGCAAGATTACCCCGTGCTCAGACTTATTTTCACCAAGCAGATTATAAACATTGTTATTGTATACTTGTATGTACGACACCTCTACAATGTCGTTCTCCGCATCTAGAGCATCAAACAAGGCGGTAATAAAGGCGGGAATGAGAACGTTTATTGTATGCGTTTTCCCGCTACCCGTTTGGCCATAGCACAGCACACAAGCGTTAAACCCGGTCTTCAGCTGATCTATTATGCCTGGAACCATCGAGTTGCACATTTGCTCATCTGTTACAGAGGGGTCAATGACATCCCCAAACTCATACATGTGCTTCGCTTCCTTCGCGCCATCCGACGCGGGGAAAGCAATAGTCAATATTTTCCCCCCACCAGCCACACCTAACCGCGGGGAAGCCAATGCTTGGGGCAACCCATTTTGGTTTGACGGTATCGTTGCTGGTAACGCGGATATGGCGGGGCTACTGAGACATTTACTGCCTGATGAGCAAAAAACTTCGTTTTGTTGAGCCCTGCCACGGCTAACTGATTCATCCTCAACGTTATTCGCAGGGCAAGCTACATTCTCCGGAATACTCCTGATCCGACGAGAGCCGGTGCGAGGCGTGCCTAAAGTGCCAGAGTCAACAGAGAATCGCAAAACGGTGCTGTTGTCAGTGTGAAACGCGGGAGGTTTCAATCGAACTACTACATGCACAAATTCCTGGCAACTTTGTGACTCACGGGGTGTTCGGTTGTTCCTATTGCGAGATCTCACTGAAGAAAAAAAGCTACTTTCCCCTCTCGAACTAATTGGAGAACTAGAGGATGCATCCGTTTTAGTTTGGGGCAATTCCAGTGGTGCATGGGGAAAATTACCTGAAGACAACCTTCTTGTCATTGTTTTTTCCACTTCCCTTGACTTCCCCCTTTGTCTCCGTTCCCCCAAAACAATTCAATCTCTTCCTTTGTTTTTTGTTTTTTTCGTACCAGATGGCAGCAGCTTCCCCAACACCCAAACACCTCCCTGCCCCAAACCTTCTTCAGAAAATGTACACCAACGTAGAAATATAACGCTATGAATGTAAGAGCAACCCTGCGTTTTCCGTTCTGGATCTATAGGTGCAGTTATTTCCCCTGGCGTGGTGGGCGTAACAGTACGCCTTTCCACAAAAAAGCCGCAGCCTTCTGTAGTTCTTAGTTATACAATTCTCTTAACCCCTAGGATGTTCCCAGACTCGCACCCGTCCCACTCCTTTGCAGCGGGGCTAAACGCGCTTCCTCCGGCGAAAAGTGTCCGGGACTAAAAAAAAACTCCAAAAGAAAAACGCCAGAATAATATTCTGTGCAGCTGGCCGAATCCTGAAATTTCCTATAAACCCAAAAACAAGATGGGGGAAAAGAATGTAATTAGTGGCAGTTAAATGCCCAAGCGTTTTCTTCTGATTAAACATATGTATTCTTTTGACCGTTCAAGTTGCCTTTTGAACTCAGGCAGGATTTGAAATACTATTACTTACTAAGTGGCAGACTTCGGGCTCCTGGAACCACAAGATCCCGCCGCGTGGTGGGAATCAAAAGGGGGTGGGTGGGACGGCAAAAATAAAATAAAAGTTATGCCGCCGCCATCGCCTCCCTGCCCCTACAAAGTCTTGATCATCCCACGTCCATAAGATAGGAAAAATATCATAAAGAAGTGCATTCGTTTTATCGGGATTTAAATTAATTAAGTTAGCCAGATCTCCTCGCAATCATTCTCTTCACCAGCTCCTACATAAGTAAAAAAGAACATAAGAAAGAGTGGTCAAAATTAAAATAAATAAATAAATAAACACATCTTCCAATCATTTGCCCCATGCCAAGAGGCATCCCAATTAATCGATACATCAGAAAAAAAAAAGCATCGGTTAGATATTAGCCACCCGGGTCCCGCACGTTCTGCCCCCCTTCAACACACGCCACTCAATACTGCATGTCGCCACTCCCAGAATATACTCATTCCTTTCAGCTCCACACAATCATTACCCGCCACAGATCATAAAATAAATAAGGAAATCAGAGCAATACTCCAAGTTTACTTTTTCCACTTCGTGTTTTTGTCGTGCTTCACTCACAATTTGTCCTGGGAAAAAAGAGAACGCACAAAAATAAAAAAATATACATATACATATATATTTACTCCACAGCGTAACGGAAACCCGCCAAACGTCACGATTCCAAGCACCTCAACATTCCTTCAACAACAACAACAACAAAAAGTAGCACCAACACGCCTACGTAGGTCACAAAAAAACAGAATAATAATAATAATAACAATTAACAACAAACCGTAAATTCACGTCCACACCGTACTGCTTGCTCCGGCGGATCGTTTCCTTCGTGTCGGGGCGTGGGGGGTCAAGAAACGTCAGAATGCCGCACAGGTGCCAGCGGCCCTGCGAGTCCGTCTTCGCCACAGAGAGGCAACGGACACCACGCGCGGCAAGACTGTCGATGATTTCAACCACCTGGTCATTGATCTCGTCCTGGTTGTACACCAGCTGGATAATCACGTGTGGCGCGCCCTTCGTCACGCTGAACTTCTCGTTCGTTCGCTTGTCCACAAGGGTGGCGGCCGTGCGCTTCGTTGTCGGATCAAACGGCACAAATTCAGTCTGTGTGTAGTTGTCACACTCGTCCAAGTCCGCAGCCCCCAGCACCATTGTGTCCAGGGCGTCACGAGGGGGCTCACGCCACTTCGCAGCAAGTGCGGCCAGCACAAGCACGGAGCGCAGGTCGTAGCCCTTCTCAAACGTAAAGCACTGATCCTGAATCTCCATTTTGTTCAGCGTCAGCGTCCCCGTCTTGTCGGAGCACAGCATGTTCACACCTGACATCATCTCAATTGCGGTCAGCTTCGTCACAATGATCTTGTGCCTCGACAGCTTCTTTGAGCCCACAGCCAGCGTCGTCGTCACGACAATCTCAAGGGCAATCGGAATGGACACCACAAGCACCACGACGGAAAACTGTAACGAACGGCGAAATGATTCTTTGAACTTTACCATCAAGTAGATAAAGCAGATAAGGCACAAAGTAAATGAGAAACTTGTCAGCACCACCATCACTCGTGAGAGAATCACATGAATATTTCCAAGATCGGATTCCACTGACTGCAGCAACACCGCAGTTTTGCCAAAAAAGGTGTTTTGTCCAGTGTACTGCACCGTCCCATCCACCTCACCGCGCACAACGTTTGAGCCCATTTTGGGCATGTGGTCCGTTCCCATCGTCACGGGAAGCGACTCACCCGTCAGCGCCGCCTCGTCCACGTCAATCACACCCTCGTTGATGCTGCAATCGGCAGGCACCGCGGAGCCGGATGCGAGCTTCACAAGATCACCGGGCACCAGCAGCGCGGCATCCAGCTGCTGCCATGCTCCGTCACGGTGGACGGTCGCCACGGGCTTCAGTGAGTTCTTCAGCGCAGCCACAGCGTCGCCTGCCTTGATTGTCTCATACCACCCAATTGTGGCATTGGCAAGCTGAATAACAAGAAGAATGGCACCGTCAGGCCAGTTCTCCAGCGCAAACTCAATGATGATGGCGACCCACAGCGCAAAAGGCATAGGACCCCATAGGTTACGCACAAATATCAGCCAACTGGGCGTTTTCTTCTCCGGGAGCTCGTTGCGTCCGTATTTGGCAAGGAGCTCTTCCGCTTCGGCCGTCGTCAGTCCCTTGGACGGCGGCAGCATTGGCACTTCATCGACGTCGTCCTCCTTGTGCTCACTAATGGCCTTGGAGAGAACGGACTGACGCTTTTGCGGCTTTTGTGGGGGATGTGGTGTTCACCGTTGGAGACCGCCTCCGTGGCTTCGTTGACAGGGCCTTGCCCGTTTTATTTTAGGTCTTGTCGCCATTTTTGCTCGTTTGACAAAATTCGGTCACGGACGCGCTCCAGCTTTTCATTTCAAGCTCCTTTTTAAATAAACTTGAAAAACAGGCCAACTCCCCCTTTTTGCATTTCTTTTTACTAGACACCGTCTGTCAAATGCTTTCGTTTGCTTCTTAAAAGCAACCCAAAAAAGTTTGGGTGAGAAAAAAAAAAGAACAAGGTTAGAAAGAAATCATAAAGAGCCATAAATGATTTTACTGCGTTGCTGGCGGCCTATCATTACGTGCATCCTGTCATTCTTTGGTAGTCTCCCGGTTAAAGAAATGGGACGTCAAGGAAAGTGTAGAACTAGATTATGATCCTGGCATTTACTTCATTAACAAAAAGAGAGGCTTCATTCCTTTTTCTCCCCCCTAAATGTGTCGAACACATGTCAGGATTTCATTCTGCATCCCCATTGTTTTCCCCATTATTACCACATGTCCCTCGCTGCACTCCAGCCCGTGTGACCCCCTCCAAAAATTTTCTTCTAATTACTGCCATCAGCAGGACGGCGCCTTTAACTCCGCTGCTCTTGCCGCTGCGCTCCCCTCATTATTCCTGTGGCCACTCCGCACACAAACAGCCTGCTGGCAGACAACAGCAACGGAGCAATACACCAGAGAAAATCCCCTGGCCTATTTAGGCGTCTCCCTCGGTGCGCAAAAATTAGAAAAATCGTGCTTCAAG